GATATTTAAATTAATTTCTTCATATTTATCTTTATATCTAATCAACTTCAAACTACTACCCAATTCTTTAATTCTATACTTACATCTATTTCAGCCAATCAACCTTTTAAATTTCTTGGTTATTGGTTTATACATAACAATAAACAAACTGCATATATATTATTAATATAGTTATTATCTCTATACTAGAATATTGAATATATAATATAGTTCTTTCTTATTCTGTATGCAACAAAATTTTAGCTAAATAGAGTTCTTATGAACTAAACTAAACTAAACTTTTATAAGTTCAAGTTTAGTTCAAAAACTGAACTGAACTGAACTGAATATTTTTAAAAAATAAAATTCAGTTTAGTTCAATTCAATTTAATTTTAAACTTTTTAAATTAGTTCAAGTTTAGTTCAGGTTCTGTTCAAAGTTCATAAACATGTTCAGTTTAGTTCAATGTATTTTTATATAAATAACAAAATTACTTAGAATACTAAGTTAGAATTTATTAGTAAAATTTTGAATATAATAACATTTATTATAATTTTATTAGTAAAATTATAAAAAATACTATAATTCTTAGAAATTTATTAATATATTCTAACTTTATGCTCTAAGTAACTTTGTTCTATATATAAACTTACATTAGAATAGCATATTTTATTTTATACTTTATAAATTTTAAAGAGAAGATGCTTAATTTTGAATTTTTAATAAAAATTTTTATTAAAAATTCAAAATTAAGCATCTTTTCTTTAAAATTTATTAAGTATAAAATAAAATATATCTTTTTAATATAATTTTATATATAAAACAAAGTTACTTAGAGCAAAAAGGTAGCTTACATTAATAAATTTCTGAGAATTATAGCATTCTTTATAATTTTATTAATAAAATTATAAATAATGCTATAATTATTGGAAATTTATTTATATATTCTAACTTTATGCTTTAAGTAACTTTGTTCTATATATAAAATTATATTAAACAGCATATTTATTTTTATACTTAATAAATTTTAAAAAGAAATGCTTAATTTCTGATTTTTGATAAAAATTTTTATAAAACTTCAAAATTAAGCATTTTCTCTTTAAAATTTATTAAATGTAAAATAAATTATATCATTCTAATATAATTTTATATATAAAACAAAGTTACTTAGAGTATAAAGATAGAATATATTAATAAATTTCTAAGAATTATATCATTTTTTATAATTTTATTAATAAAATTATAAAGAATATTATAATTCACAAAATTTTACTAATAAATTCTAATTTTATATTCTAAGTTATTTTGTTTTATATATAAAAATATATTAAACTAAACTAAACATGTTTATGAGCTTTGAACTGAATATTGAACTAAACTTTTATTATATTCAAGTTCAGTTTAGTTTAGTTTAAGCTTAGTTCAAATTTAGTTCAAGTTCAAAATTAGAAAATTCAGTCTAGTTCAGTTTAAATTTAATTAAACTAAACTAAACTTATTTGAACTAAACTGAACTTTTGAAATGACACTCAAACTCCAATACATGCCTACCCCTAGGTCATGCTATTAGAAAAATCAATATATGAGGATCGGTAAATTAAAACATGGCTTATTGCATTTTTTCCATTTTGAGAAAATCGTATTTACATATTGGTGTAACAATAATAATGGGTAATCTATTTTTAGTATAACCTGTTGTGACCCTTATATGATACTCAAGCTAAAACCTGTAAATTATGTATGTCAATCTATTGTCTATAAAATAGAGTGCGATGTATTGTCAGGGGGTGTACAATCGATCAGATCTAAAAAATTATTGCATAGTACTTAGTGATGCAGAAGAATCGTCCCAATGATTGTTGTAACTTGCTTGCAAATTGCCAGAACTTGCCGTAACTATATGTAATTAATATAGAAAGTTACGGCATTATTGCTGTAACTTTTTATATTACTTACTATAGTTACGGCAATTCACAAGCAAGTTACGAAAATTATTTGGTCGATTCTTCTGCATTACTAGTAGCACTATTAAATTTTTTTATTTTTTAGCGTTAGGTTTCAAAGTTTTTTAAATCAGTTTATCTTTTTTGCTTTGTTTTTTAGGTGTTCTTAGAAATCTCTTCAACATTTTGGAGCTGTTCTCTGGTAGTTTTCCTGTATTTCTATCAAAAAGAGGTTTCAAAACGTCAAAGAGCTTTCTTCTGAATTTCATGTTCTCTGGTAGTTCTCTTCGATGTCTTGAAGTTGTTCTCCAGCAGCTTTCTTTGGACGTTTTGAAGCTGTTTTCTGGTAAGTTTCTTAGACATTTTGGAGTTTATTCTCTGGTAGTTCTCTTTGATATTTTGAAGCTGTTCTCTAGTAGTTTTTTACTTTTCTACTATGAAACCTACTCTGATTCAGCTTCAGTTTCTAATAAATTTTCATTAGTTTTTTCATCAGGCTTGGAGCTGTTCTCTGATAATTTTCTTTGCCAGGTTTGAAGTTGTTTTCTGATAATTTCTTCGTAGGTAAGGAGCTGTTTTTTGGTAGATTTCTTAGAAATTTTTGAGCTTTCTCTGGTAATTTTCTTCACCAGGTTTGGAGCTATTATCTAGTAGTTTTCTATTAATAAATTTACTCTAATTCAGATTCAGCTTCTAGTTTCTTCATCGGGTTGGAGGTTTTTTCCTATAATTTTCTTCACCGGGTTTGGAGCTGTTCTCTCATAGGTTTCTTAGAAATTTTGAAGCTGTTCTCTAGTAATTTTCTTTACTGGGTTTGGAGCTATTCTCTGGTAGTTTTCTACTAAGAAACATAATCTACTTTATTTTAGCTTCTAACAAATTTCTATTAGTTTCTTGAAACTGTTTTCTGATAAATTTCTTTGCCAGAATTTGAGCTGTTTTCTGGTAATCTCTTCACCGAACTTTGAGCTATTCTCTGGTAATTTTTTTTTGCCAGGTTTGGAGCTTTCTCCAGTAATTTTTTCACTGGTTTGGAGCTGTTTTCTGGTAGGTTTCTTAGAAATTTCAAAGCTGTTCTCTATAATTTTCTTCACTGGGTTTAAAGTCGTTCTCTGGTAATTTCTTCTAAGAAACCTACTCTAATTTATTTCAGCTTCTAATAAATTTCTATTAGTTTCTTCACCAGATTTGGAGTTGTTCTCTAGTAATTTTCTTTGCTGAATTTGGAGCTGTTCTCTAGTAATTTTTTTTTACCGGGTTTGTAGCTTTCTCTAATAGAAATTCTGAAGCTGTTCTCTAATAATTTTCTTCGCTGAATTTGGAGCTATTCTCCAATAGTTTTTTTATTAAGAAGCCTACATTAATTTATTTAGCTTCTAATAAATTTCTATTCATTTCTTCATCAGGAAACTGTTCTCTAATAATTTTCTTCACCAGACTTTGAGCTGTTTTCTTGTAACTTTTTTCGCCAAATTTAGAGCTTTCTCTGGTAATTTTCTTCACTGAGTTTGAAGCTGTTCTCTGTTAAATTTTCTAAGCCTATTTCAGCTTCTAATAAATTTTTATTGGTTTTTTCGCTAGGTTTGTGGAACTGTTCTTTGGTATTTTTTTTGCCAGACTTTGACTTGTTTTCTGATAATTTTTTTCGCTGAGTTTTGAGCTTTCTCTAGTAATTTATTCGCCGAGTTTGGAGCTGTTTTCTAGTAGATTTCTTAGAAATTTTAGAGCTGTTCAGTAATATCTTAATATAGTTTTATAATCCGATGATAGATT